CCCCCCCCCCCCCCCCCCCCCCCCCCCCCCCCCCCCCCCCAAAAAAAAAAAAAAAAAAAAGGATTTATTCTTCTTACCTCATTAAGATCCTCAGCCCTGTGCTTAAAGTTGAACGACGTTTTCAACGATGAGGAAGCTTGAGAATGAAAGTTAAGAGTTTTCATAAGTTGTGTTTAAATGTTAATTTAGATTGATTGAGGGGGGAAAATGTACTGACAGATTGGGAAATATGTCAATACTGTTTATTATTGCTTGTATAGTTCTGATGCCAATTTTTTTTTTTGGTAGTGCTGTTCCAGTCTTTCTTTTGAGATAAAGTGATTTAGCAGTACTTTACTTTTGTAGGAATCACAACCTAAGTTAGGTTCCAGGAAAGACACTTCGGAAGGTTTGGTTCTTTTTTCTTTCGTCTCGACAATATCTCTTGTCAGACATGGTAAAAAATACGTCTTTCTGTTACAGTTGAAGCATCTCAGAATGGTAACTCTATGCATGGTACTCAAAACGGAGGATCTAATACTCAGGCAATGGCTGCCATCCCATTGGCAACTGCTGGGGCCCCGGGTGTCGTTCCTGGTCCCCCAACCAACTTAAATATTGGAATGGACTATTGGGGTGCACCATCCACTATCCCTGCAATGCGTGGAAAGGTTCAATCCGCTCCAGTTGCTGGAGGACTAGTTACCACTGGATCTCGGGATGGCATGCAGTCACAACTTTGGTTGCAGGTAAACTCTTAATATGATTCAAGAACTTGAACTTTGAAGTTGAAAAACGACAAAAAAAAGTAATATAAAATTTTGGATTTAGGATGAGAGAGAGATTAAACGACAGAGAAGAAAGCAATCAAATAGAGAATCTGCACGACGTTCCCGGTTACGTAAGCAGGTATTGAAAAACCTGCTGGAAACTATTAATCTTGTTGGTAGACCTGGTTTCTTGTACCCCTCTCCTATTACCAACTGGTTCCAAACTCATGATTTTCAGGCAGAATGTGACGAATTAGCACACCGAGCTGAAGCATTACAAGAAGAGAATGCCAGTCTTAGGTCTGAAGTGAACCGGATAAGGAGTGAATATGAACAACTACTTTCAGAGAATGCTTCTCTGAAGGTAATACTAAAAATATTTATTTTCCTGCTTCTCATTTCTTTCACCCCCTCAATGTTTTGTCACACCTTGACCATCACTTCATTATAATTACTTTATGATGTTGCTTTTTTTTTTAATCTAATTTACAAAGAAGTGTACATGCCAAATGGAGCAAGCTGTTTTCCTTTGCATAATCCTTGCCCATCTTTCTGGTAATCAACGAGACGGGTTGGATATTTAGACTTATTTCGCAATAATATTGTGAGATCCCACATCGGTTGGGGAATAGAACGAAGCATTCTTTATAAAAGTGTGGAAACCTCACTCTAGCAGATGCATTTTAAAAAAATCTTGGAAAGGAAAAGCCCAAAGAGGACAATACATGCTAGCGGTGGGGTTGACATTACAAATATTATTATCTATTTCATTGTATGCATGCAGTTAGAGTGATGAGCATGGAGAAATCATCTTCCCCTTCATTATTGCAGCAGATATATGTTGTGCACAAACTTGTCCCATCTAATGGGCTAGATTTTGTTTATGCAGGAACGACTCAGGGAAGTTCCAGGAAATGAAGAACTAAGGACCAGCAGGAACGGCCAGCACTCGAGTAACGAAACCACTCAACTTACAGAGTCAGCGGTCGTGCAAGTCGGTAACAAGAATTGAATCTTCCCTTCCTGCTTACTGCTGCATTTTTACGCGCATAACCTAACTAATTTGTCAACCCCAAAATTTTAGTTCCCATAGCTTGTAGTTCTAGTTTAAATGTAAGCTGCTGACCTGTTGTAGTTTTAGGACTGTTTGTTCCTGCAATCCATTATCATATCTCCATGGGGTGTATCCTTAACTGTAAAAGCCCACAAAGATTAGATATTTGGTGTGTGAATTTATTCTTGTAGCATTCACACGTTAGCTTCTGTACTAAAACCGTCCACATTATTAACTATTGTTAATTTGGAGAAAAGTTAATACACCTTGGCAAGGCTTTACTTTTTTTTGTACTCTGTTCTGTAGTTGTGGTTTTCTTGAATTTTTGTTAACCATCCTGGGTTCAGTTTTTTTCCACCAAATGTTGTTTGTTCAAACAACGATATCTCTTGAGACTGAGCACATTAGCAAGTCTGAGAGATTCATTAAGGTGCACATAAGATAGTTCAGACATCGGAGTTAACAGCGAACCCGAACATATCACAATCTATTCATAATGCGTTGAGTTGTTATCGTAGAATTCATTATCAAGATTGATTGTTTTTACTCATAATAAGGCTAGAATTTGTCCCAAGTGAATTCCATTAGTGGCTTTGCTTTGTCATAGAAGCTACATTTTCGATAGAAGCTTGGCCAGAAGTGCTTAGTCATTTTCCGAATGCCTCGACTTATGGTCTAGGTTGATTTTCAATGCTTCCTTGCCGCCAACGAAGAGTAAGCAAACGACATTGCTTGCATCCATCAAATGGTAGGCGGAGTAGATTCATATTCATCTGTATAACAGTGAGATCTGCCCAAATGGTATAGAAATTCTTCTTAAAATAACTGAACATCATTAAATAAAATCTTGTCCCCCAAAAGAACTTATCTGATAAAAATACCTTCTTCCTCTCTTGTTCTACAAGTACAGCATTCTTCTATACAAACCATCATGAAAAATCCTTCCCCTCCTACCCATTGGAGGACCCTCTTTCACAACAGCATCTCCATTGGAAACAGCTGCTACAACAGTTACCGAATCTCCATTGAACCAAACAACTGGTGATGGAGGAGAAGCTGAAGCAGCACATCGGCGTTGGGCATTTTGGGCATCTGGGTTTACAGGATTCAGGGCATTTCAACCGTATCGAGCAGCAACCTGCACAGCTTGGCCTCGAACATTTTGGTGGTCGTGAGCATTTCACTTTACAGCAGCATCCATCACAAGAGACTGCACAGCAACACGATCTTTTTGGTAGATCACGGGTTTGTCGAATCTTTTTTAGGCGAACTTTCGTGGTAATGTTCTCCATATCTTGGATGAATTTGCAAAGATGGCGGATGTAGTTTGGATAAAGCTCTAAGTTGCAGTGTCCTCCTCCTTTTATCCATAGAGGATCGTACGGTTCTCGTGACATTTTCCATAAACCATTTCCATGGAGCCAGTCGACAACATCATCGTCCGTGCCCTGTGAATTTTATCCAAGAACATCAAAGTCATCGTTGGTAACATTCGCAGTTGGTACAAAAATTGTTCGGCTGAATTCAAACCATTTTTATGATATGTGATCATAAAGTTGTAAATAGAAAGTTAATCGAACATCCTGACCATCTAATCAACTCTCGAGTTCATTTTTATGATATGTGATCATAAAGTCATGAATAGAACATTCACCCGAACATATTTTACTTTAAAAACTTGTCCACATCCATACTCACCCAACCATCTAATCAACTCGGGTTCGTTTTTATGATGTGTGATCATAAAGTCATGTATAGAATAGTCACCCAAACATATTTTCACTGCAAAAACTTGTCTACACTAATACTCACCCGACTATCTAATCAACTCTCATGTTCGTTTTTATGATATGTGATCATAAAATCGTGAATAGAATAGTTACCCGAACATATTTTCACTATAAAAACTTGTCTACACTGATACTCACCTGATCATCTAATCAACTCTCGGGTTTGTCTTTATGATATGTGATCATAAAGTCTGAATAGAACAGTTACCCAAACATATTTTCACATTAAAAAAACTTGTCTACCTGATACTCACCTGACCATCTAATCAACTCCATTCTTTCACTGACAAAACCGACCTTTCAATTCAACTTAATAAACGACTTCGACTTTAGAACAATCAATCGAACAGGTAAGACTAAAATAAGGGCCTTTTCATAATCCCTATTCAAATTGCTTGCTTGACTGATTAAGAGAGTTTGGGCGGAGAAACCATGGAAACAAGTTCAAGAAACATATCCAAAAGGGGGGGAATGGTGGAAAAAGCTTACATGTATCACAAGCACAGGACACTTCGCCTTCTTGATTTTGTTAATATTCTGCAATGGTGAGAATACTTGTAAGCTTAACGTACAGATAAAAGTATTGATGCCTTAAAAGATAGGCATGTTACCTTATAAATGTCAAAGCAAAAGGTGAACTTCACATGGCATAGAACTCGTAGACCCGAAAGGATTGCACTATGCAGCACAACGCCCCTCAACCGTGGCAGTTTAGAAGCCAAATGCAACGTTGGTCCACTTCCAACCGATTGCCCGTACAAGATCAAGTCTTCCTGGCTGACTCCATACTCAGTTTCAAGACACTCGTAAACCGCTTCGATGTCAGCATATGTATTCGATTCGCTCGGCTGGATTTCACAAACGACGTTAATTTGACTCACTGATAGCAATTGTGACTTAAAAGAGAAAAAACCGGGCGAGAGCTAGCTAATTCCACCACGTTCTAACAACAATCCGACCATTTTCATAACGAGAATCAATGAAGCCTGTCACTAAATGCTCAAATAGAATGCTAAGGACTCCAAATTCATCAAATTTTCATCAACCAAGATTATTTGTAACAACTCAAGCCCACCGCCCACAATGGTTGGAGAGGGGAACGAAACATTCCTTATAAGGGTGTGGAAGCCTCTCCCTAGCAGATGCGTTTTAAAACCGTGAGGCTGATGAAAATACATACCAGGCCATAGAAAAGGTTAGAATTCTAACCTGCCATTTCATTTCTAGAGATCAATCCCTAAACTCTTGAACGGTCAAATCAAAGGTATAAAATGTATGCTTATATGATTTGAGTCAAATATTGTTCTATAGAGTGGAACAGCAACATACCTTACCAGTTGAAGCTCCATAGCCAGAATAGTCATATCTGCATAAAAGATTACAAATGTTCAGATACGAAAAAATATAAGCCAGAAACCGATGAAAACGATCAAATTCCCCGAAACGAAACCAAGAAAAGCTCAACAAAATGCATAAGACATGAGAGCGTGTCCAAGATCATATGGCGTTAGGCTTCACATTTGTTCTCCTAAAACAAATTAACAGCTTAGTGCAAACGTTTTTCGTCTCAACCGTGTTTAGGGCAACTTAAGCATACTTCGCTTCGGCTAATTATCTCAAGGGACAACCGTCGTAACATACAATATTCGACTTGAAGAAAATAGTAGAATTCAATATTCTAGGTAGCTGATGTGAGATCCCACATCGGTTGGAGAGGGGAATGAAGCATTCTTTATAGGGGTAGAAATCTCTCCCTAGCAAATGTGTTTTAAAACTTTGAAGGGAAACCCAAAAGGGAAAGTCTAAAGAGGACAATATATGCTAATGATAGGCTTGAGTTGTTACAAATGGTATCAGAGCTAGAGCTAGACACTGGGTGGTGTACCAGCAAGGATGTTGAGCCCCGAAGGAGGGTGGACACCAGACGGTGTGCCAGCAAGAACGCTGAGCCCTAAAGGGGTAGACACCAGGCAATGCCACAAAGGACACTAGACCCCGAAGGGGGGTGGACTGTGAGATCCCACATTAGTTGGAGAGTGGAACGAAACATTCTTCGTAAGAGTATGGAAACCTCCCCTAGCAGACGCATTTTAAAACCTCGAGGGGAAACCCCAAAGAGAACAATATTTGTTGGCGGTGAGCTTGAGTTGTCACAGTTGGCCACAAGAATTCAACTAATCTAAGAGGACGATTAGACTTCCGTGTAAACGAACGAATAGGTCAACTATAATTGTCAATATGAACACACACTAGTGAGTGTTTGTATACAATTTCTAGAAAACAAAAGTTGTTATTGAAATTATTCCAAAAGAGAGGAAAAAAACATGAGATTTCGTGGGAAAAGGAAAGCAAATCTTGCATAGAACAGAACAATGAAAAAGGGAGTAAAAGCAGAACTTTCCCAGAACCCCAGAAGCACAGAACTCCATCAAAAAAACATAATTTGCAACTCAAAGAGGAGGGGAAATGGCTGCTTTTTTCAGGGAAAAAGGGTAAAAAGAAGGTTAAAAAATGACCTGAAAAGAGACCAACTTTGGAACTATTAAACTAGCCTTCTCTTCTTCACTTTACATTCTCAATTGGTAAATAATTGATGTAAATCTCCCAACCCAAATGCAAAAACAACGGTAACTTTCAAATTTCCATTTTTAGGGAACATTCAAAAGTAAAAGAAGAGAGAGAGAGGACTGAACCCATGAGATTGAAAGGATAAGCAATAACTAAATGCTTCTTATACAAAAATGTCAGAGAAAGAAAAGCCATAGCCAGAAAAGCTTCAACAGGAACAGAATTCCCTAAATCAGAGCAAAGTGAGAATCTAACACCCCATTGTCCACTTTATCGTATTTATCAGCCTCACAGTTTTAAAATGTGTCTTCTAGTGAGAGATTTTCCCACCTTTATAAGGAATGTTTCGTTTTTTTTTCTAACTAATGTGGGATCTCACAATTTGGGGGTCCACTGCCCTCACAGGCACACCGGTGTCCTTGCAGCACACCGCCCGATGTCTGACTCTTATACCATTTGTAATCGCTCAAGTCCAACGCTATCACTGTGAGATTCCATTTCGATTGGAGAGGGAAACAAAACATTTTTTTATCAGGGTGTGTAAGTCTCTCCCTAGTAGAGTCGTTTTAAAACTGTGATGCTGATGACGCACTATGGACTAAAGTGGACAATATTTGCTAGCGGTGGACTTCTTCTCTTACAAGATTTAACCCACGAGATGGAAACCAATTTCATCAAAAGGTAAGTAAACTGAATCCTTGTAAGAAAGAGCAGCCATAGCCAAAAAAGCTTAAAAAACAGAGCTCCATTAATCAGAACAAAGTTAACAGAGAGTACTGACCCCATGAAAGAGGGGGGGAAAGCTCAACTCCTCAAAGTAATAAAACTTCAACAAAAAAACAGAGCTCCATTGAAAAGAAAACTGAAAGAGGGGAAAAAATCCAATTCCTTCAATGCATTAAACACCCCCCCCCCC